CCTCTTCTGATACTACTATTATTATTATTACTACTATTACTACTATTACTACTAGTACTACTACTACTACTACTAATTACTACTACTACTACTACTACTACTATTACTACTACTACGACTACTACTACTAGTACTACTACTACTACTGCTACTACTACTACTACTACTACTAGTGCTACTACTACTACTACTACTACTACTACTACTACTTGCTACTTTTCCTACTACTTCATTATTACTATGATTCAATGACTTCTGCTATTACCATTACCACTACCATCTGCGCTTTATGTGGCTGTCGACCCACAATATGTTGATGTAAGTAAACCCCTAGACCCGAAACCTTGAAAAACCTTCAACCCAAAATGTAAAGTCAGAACCCCAAACCTAAACCTGAAATGAGTCAAAATCCACATCTGAGCAGGCTTGGGTGGCTGCACCCGAAATTAAAAGCTACGAGCTCTAAACGTGACATGTTGAAAGACTTCCAACCCAAGGCTAGATGAATTTTTTTCGGAGATCTGAGGACTGCCACGGGGCCGCCACTAAACCTTCGACTCTACAGCTGAAGCCTGTTCCCTTGGGGGATGTTTTGTTGTGTGAGTGTTGGGGCAGTCGGTTTTTCTTAGTTATGCCAAGCAGGTGGAGGCAAGAAACACCAACCAATCACCAAGGCGGCCCCCGAGTTGCTAATGGACTCTGCCACAAAACTCATATCCTGAATGCTCATCGCACACGTTGATGAGGTCTTGATTACTGTTGGCAGTTCCTTCTGAGAGCTCCTGCATTCGAAGCTCAGCTTCTTGGCGTCGAGTACTTGGCGCAGGAGTGGCCACCCAGTAAATACCTTCTGCTCAGGAATGAGATATCCTTCCTGGCAACTTTGGGTGAGGTTCGGCTGCCCGCTGTGAAATCTGGAGGGCAGAGACTAATCCTTCAGCTTTGTCGCATTGGAGTCACGGGAACATCTACACATGCATGCTGTTTGCGCCTGCTCTATCGTGGGAATCAGCTGTAGGTGAATTGAGAAGCATGCATCCAAGCAAGTGAAGCACATGCAATGCAGATTGAAGCTCGGCTTATGTAAAGCCGGCTTGAGTTCTACCTGCAAGGTACTTTTCAAGCCTTTTGCACGGCATGGTAACGAGAATGGCTAGGTCTCATGCCACTCATACACTCAGTACAGAGCATCTATGACGTCTTGAAGCAGCTTAGAGCGGCTGCGTCCGCAGATAGCATGACCCCCGGACAGAGTGCAGGGAAGGACGACGACTGCAGCTTTGACCTACCAAGGCCATGGAGCCGGCCCAGCTTGCAGCGGCCTTTGCTTTATCGATCGGAAGTGAATCTTTCGTAGTTCTTTGTGCTCTCTGAGGCTCAGCTCGAGAGCATGTGCAATGCTCTCTACAATGCGCGCTCCGAGGAAAGGATTGAACAAATCACTTACAAGGGTTTGGTGCTGACCCACGCCGTCACTGGTCCTTTTGAATTTCTGCAAGGCTGAGAGAGCGCAAGCGCACCAGACACTGCTGCCTCTGGTGCAAAACCCTCAGCCCGAGCCTCACAGTGACCACAGCTCCTTTCTGCAGAGCCATGCACACGCCTCAAACTCGCAGGTGCATGCCGCAGCTGCAGTTTGTGTTGGCGCACACGAGCAGCAGTCGCCCTAGACAAAAAAAAATTAAGTGCCAGTTTCTTGGAATGTGTGAGGTCCTCACGCCTTGATTTTCGCTGCTACAGGTCTTATGAAGGCCTGGCTGTCAAAGCATCCGCTGTTTCTTCTTTCGGTCACCCGTCCATTCAGATTCTGCGGTGTCTGGCCAAGGGCAAGTAAGCCACAGACACAAGAGCCAGATGTTTGCACGCCTGAACCATCAATGAATATCAATCAGATTTCTGGCTTCCGTCATATGTTCTTATGGGAGCTGAGCTTGCGTAAAACAATGGCGGGCTCAGAGCTTCTTGGCCAGTCTGTGACTTCCTGGGGCGGGTGGCTGCAAGTGGTTTGGTGTCTGGCGACCGAAAGGATTAGTGCGGAAAGCCCCTTGTGTGTCACCTGAAATCACTGAACAACTTTTCGAAGTGCCGATTCTCTGCCAGCTCATCACTTCGCACTGGACGTCAGTCTCCGACCAGCAGAAGGAAGAGATGAGGAGCGAGAGCTGAGAGCTGCAGCGCATGTCCTCTCCAAAAACAAAGCCCTACGCAAAGATTATGAGCATCTCTCCGCTGCAGAAACATGGCAGAAACGTGTAGCAGAAGTATGGCAGCAGAAGTGTAGGAACTTCCTCCTCGATTACTTGGCAAAGAACGGTGGCAGTCTCAGAAGTGCCGAACTGACAAAAAATTAATGAGTTGGGTTTTTGGGTTAAAGAGGGTGTGTGTGTTAAAGGGATATAAAGGGGCTAAGGCGCTCCATGGTTCCCCTTTCTCCCCAAAGTTGCAAGTTACTGGCCACAGGCCACCCTGGGCCGAAAAAGATGTCCAAAGCGATTTTGACATGCTGCAGCTTTCAGGCCCTGACCTTTATCGGAGCGCTCCCATGGGAGTGTCGCCAGTGGTGAGGCACATTCACGTCACGAGAGGTTGCTTGTCATTACAATTCCTACGCACGTGCCAGGCTGCTTTGCAGAGTACCTTGCCAGCAGTTGGGTGTGTTGTTTGATGGCGGATATGGCAGCCATTTGTGGACATGTCCTGATCTGCCGCCCTAGGTCATCAAGCTGGCATGGCTCGAGGGGAGCGGTTCTTGGAGAAAGTCAATTCTTTTGCGCCACGGGCTGCCGTCTGTGTAGTTCTGGTTCCCGAAGGATGCCAGGGTTGGGATACAGGCTTTTGTACAGTGGCGACTCACAGTAGCCCTTGCTGTGGATGCCCATGTCCGTTACCCGCAGGAGAAATATCAATGGTAGCTCACATATGTGACGCCCTTTCAAGCTGAACTCCAGGCCTCAGCACCAGATGATTACCGGGAAAGTGGATCAGTTTTTGCAGTCGTCGCCTTTGCATGCATCTCAGGGGATTGGGCTGGGGATGTGCTTTAGGGCGCAGACGACTTGAATGCCTCACGTGCTTCAATGATTTCAAGTGGACAGTGAGATACATGTACATCTATTCTTGCTCGTGCGTGGGTAACCATGTGGCCATGACGCGTCACTTTGGCTCACAGGATACTGCATATAGCTGTCGGTTAATGTTCTCGGTCATGCATCGAGAGCTTCGGTGCCGCAGGCCAGGAGTCCACACTGCTGTATAGGTTGTAGGCAAGGTAGGTCGTGTAGGTTGCCATGGCAGCCCGGAGAGAATTGGGGGGTGAAAGTCAATATTTGTGATACATTGTGATACTGAATTTCAACCTCCAGTGAGTGCATTGACCCGAGATGCGGGGCAACTCGCATGGCGGAAGAAGAAATCTTGACATTTTTGTGAGAAACCCTCCTCATCGCGGCACACCTGCTAGCTAGAGCTTGGCTGCTGCTGCTTGCATGCCTGCATGTGCATGACACGGGCGTACCTCAGCTTTGTCGATGATTTGCAGGGTGACACCTTTGACGCCCTTGCTGCTCCTGTTTTGTTCACCGACAGTGGCAGAGAATTCAGCAGAGGCCTGGTGAGAGCAGTAAATGCGTTCAGGAATGAATTTATAGAAGGGTGGTGCAGTATTAGTTTGCAGGCTTACTTTCACGCTCTTGCCAACCACCTTGGCAAAAATGCGTCCGCGACGCAATCCACGCCCTCCGTGCGTGGAGTCCGTCGAGGCTCATTTTCCTAAAGCATAGAAGACTCAACATGATTGCATGCGCGAGTGGAGCCCATCAAGTGCTGAGAAACTGAAGGAAAAGAGGTCGCCGATGCCGTGGGAGCTTTGACAGTGCTTGTAAGACCTGTCCCGTCAGGCTATTGCACGGAATCGAACCTCTTCAACTGCATGGGCAACACCAATTGCTGTGACCCAGCAGCTCAATGCTTCGCAAAAGATGCGAAGGTAGCGGTTTGTAAGACACAGTGTACTCCAGGCCGGTGAGAGTTGCATGCCTGAGAAATGCACTTTTAGCATGCCACAGAGTGACGATCCATGTTTGCACCAGGAATCCACTTGGATGACCCTCCTGAGTGGCAAACGCCATGGTCGTGCGAAATTGTTGGCGCTGATAGGACCGGTGCCGGACGCTGCTCCACAAGCTACAGAGGAAACTGCCTGAACAACCCTCGCTGTTGTGATGGCTCCTTCACTTGCTTTGAGCGCGATTCAATATACGGGGCATGTCTCCCAACTTGCCGTCCTGGCATTCATTGGCAAGACCCGCCCCAGTATAGATTTCCATGGTCCTGCAGGGCAATAAATCCTGGAAATCCAAGCCCACCTCCGCCTCCTCCAGCTCCTCCAGCTCCCAGTCCACCACAGTGCACAGCATCATATTCTGTTAATTGCAGGTGGAAACCGGTTTGCTGTGAGCAAGGTTTCCAGTGCTATGAGAAAAACGGAGGCTACGCTGCCTGCTTGTCTTCCTGCACTCCTGGTATTCATTACGCGGAGCCGCCGCAGTACAGAGCTCCGTGGACTTGCAGATTGATCCAGCCTGGCGGCTCACCAAGTCCACCACCTCCCCCGCCACCTCCACCAACTCCCCCGCCAACTCCCCCGCCAACTCCGCCACCGCCTCCACCAGCTAGCTGCACACCTTCCTACACTCGTAATTGCTTGAACAACCCAACATGCTGTGACAGTTCCTTCACCTGCTACGAGAAGGGCAACAACTACGGAGCATGTTTGCCCTACTGCCAACCAGGCATTCACTGGGAGGAGCCGGCCCAATACCGAACTCCCTGGTCATGCCGGGTTGTGGGAGGCCCTTCCCCACCTCCGCCTACACCCTCTCCACCTCCACCCACACCTCCCCCACCGCCCCCGCCCCCTCAATGCTCAGCTACTTATTCAGACAACTGCTTGACCACTCCAAGGTGCTGTGACCCTCTCATGACGTGTTACATGAAAAACTCGGAGTATGGGAACTGCTTGCCGCTCTGCATTCCTGGCATTCACTACAATGACCCACCCCAGTTCCAAACCCCATGGGCCTGCACTCCAGTGGGAGGGCCAGGGCCTTCACCACCTTCACCACCCCCACCTTCACCACCCCCACCTTCACCACCTTCTCCGCCATGGACCACGCAGCCAGTGACGCCTCCTGGACCGCCACCTTCAACGACCCCTGCACCAGGCCGTGCAGTGCATTTGTCTTGGTATGCCAGACTGCCAGCATTGCCAGGCGGCGAAATTCCCTTTGCATCCGAGTCGCTCTATAAGCCCAGCAGCGCAGACCTCCTCACATTCCACATGCAACTTGGAGGCAGTATGCAGGCATCTCATCGGAATGAAGGGAAGCAAAGGGCCCCTTGATGCATATTGTAAGCTGACTCGATTTGCTAATTTGAATGGTTGTGAAAGTGTCCATCCAATGTGGATCACAGTTGAGCATTGCAGCAACAACTTGGAGTGAGCAAAGCCTGGTACATTTCTGTCTACAGACAAGGACTGTGAAAAGGCTTCGCTTTTTTCAGTAGCCAAGGTACCGTGCCCAGGGTCACAATAGTTACCCTCCACTGAATGTCAACACCGGAAATCTGGCCGGAATCATGTCCTGCTCTTATTTGCCACAAAGCGGACGAGGCAGTTAGACTCCTTCATCAGTGCTCTTCGGCAAGCAAGAATTTTCCTCTGAGGTGGTACATCCAGAACGAAGTCGTCTCTGGTGCGTACGGGTCTGGCAACAAGTTTGGCATTGAGCGAATCAAGCGGTTCAAAGTGGTTGCCCCAGTGCAAGTAAGACTCCTTCCTGCCAGCAGGAAAGGGAGCTGCTTTGCATTACATGTCGGCGGTACCCTCAGAAAACAGCAGCTCATGCGCTAGGTGACAATGAAGGCAACGCAGCCATTGACGCTCGGGTGCACCCACTGCTGCTGCATGCTGCAACACTTGAGCTGTTGAAGCTGGCAACTTGTACATGCCGACAGCTGTGAGCCTATGGGTCAGGATCGATGCCGGCATGAATTTTGGCGTGCGCGTGGCCTTCGACTACGGGAATTGCACTGGACCATCATGTGTGTATGATTGGCAGACACTTACCATGAACCATATTCGTTGAACAGATCACTGTGTTGTCTGCTGGGATCGAACAGCTGGCTCCAAGGAACTTTGGTTATAACATCGGGTGCAATAATTTGGGCTGCTTGGTATGGATGCGTTTGGTGGTCTTGATGCCTGAAGCTGCGTGTGCTAAGGCTCTTTTCCATTTCCGAAGTTTGAAACGTACTTCCCTGGAGGAGTCTGGTGCCCTCGGGCAGCTTGAGTCTGGCAAACTTTTGCATAGCAAAAGCAGTTTCTGTGCAGGTACAGCCTCCCAGGACCTTGCCCGCAGATGCCATACTACAGTCAGACCGCGCAATGCCAGCTGCCTTACGATGGAAGAGCAAGTAACACGTGATGTGATGAGAACCAAGTTCTGTTAGGTGAGCAGCTCCAGCCTGGCGGAAAGTGTGGTAGTCCAACGGGCGCCGGCGATTGCAGCTTGATTTTGAAGTCGAGCAGTTGTGGGAAGCTCTGAATTTGGTTGATCGTGACAGATCACAAACAAGGTACGTGGAATTATGAGGAAGAAGGTGCTCGCAGCAAATGGTGTGTTCAAGAGCAGAAAGATCTGGCAGTCTTGTATGCCTTCTCGATGTGCGTGGTGTGTGGTGCAGGTGAACAGATATGGCTGGGAGAGCTTTATGGTCACAGCAACATGAGCATGCAGCAATTTTGGAATAACAGTCCCCAGCTCAGCGGCTTTCTGTGTTTCATCCCGCCATTTCTGCATGACTGACCTCGAGGCGAAAATGCAACCGCGAATCTGTTTAAGATAAGAATGGCGCGGGAACTGTTCGCCAAAACATATGGTGCGACTTGGCACGCATCACTTGACTTGCTGGCTGTGCTCTGCCCAGATTGTACAATGCGACCTCGCAAATGTGCTCAGGCAGAGCTGCCAAACCCGCCCTGCGATTTCAATTATGACGAGTTTTACCAGGGAATGGAACCGGCAACGTTACCCTGATTCTTTTCCAGCTGCTGTGGTCCATGCAGAACAGTTATAGAGCCATTATTGTACTTTGATGCAGGTAGACCCTCACCGCCAGTTTTTCTTTTGCTACATGCTGCAGCATGCTACTTAGTGTCATGCTGTCGAATTCGTTCTAGACCATCACATGAGTTGGTGGCAATTCATCTGATTTGGCCTAACCCGGCCCCCCCGCTGGCGAATCGGTCAGCGGCTTTTGCATGTCTAGCTCGGAGGTATGTTGGTGCTTGCTTTCTAGGATCGCTATCCAGCGCAAGAATTTGCGTGCTGGAGGGGATCTCTTGTAGCTCTGTTCTGCTTTGCCTCTTGCATTATCTCGACAGCGATCAGACCGCTCCGGCGGAAATGCGCGCATTTGCTGCCATGCTCAAGCTGCACCAGACAACTCACACAAGGAAAGCAGCTGTTTATACTTCTTGTTTGAGGCACTGGGTGCTGGGCCTGGAGATCTACACTGATCTGACCACCGTCTCAACCTCAGCGCTACAAGCTCTTCTGAAGGGTTGAGCCATTGCAAACATGCCAGGACATGCAACCCACCATCGGTCCTTCTATGAGCAGGTGCTTCATATCCAGCAGACATATTGCACTAGCTGAAGTCCACATGAATCCTGGGACTCGGAATCCTTGATCATGAAGCACTCTCGCCTTAGCCGAAGAGAAAGTCGGGTGTGTTTGCTTCAGGCACAGGCGCACAGCGCTGAGCTTTCGTGACACCGCTCTCCCGCCAATTTTTACGATTGCTATACAAACGCCACGGCCCTGTCCCAGTTGCGGATTTTTTTCAATCATGGCCCTCAGTTGCAGAGAAGACAAAGTCGTGCAAGGCTGCAGCAGTTGAGCACTGGTGCCATCAATGTTCCGGACAAGAATGATGAGCGCCGGCTTAGTAAACAGGCCCATGATGCAGCGGGAGAAGCTTTCAAGTTGATGTTGCGCACCTGCCTTGCCAAGAAAACATGCAGGTACTGAACCTCTCCTGCAACTGCTTGTCATTCGACTTCATGGGAACTATCCCAGATGATACCTCCGATGAGCAAGGAACGGTGCGACCCTCAAATGGCCGAGCGAGATGCCACCGTGGTTGCAAGCCTGTCCTGACAAGTAACTCTGATGCCAGCTCTTCTTTTTGCATCTTGAGATGTCAGTCCATTGGCGTTGCTCTGTGCAGTATGAGCTGTTCCGTGCAAAATTACGTGGTCCTGCTAGACTACTCCGGCTCCAGATGAAAGTGAAGCTATGTGAATGCCACTGCTTTTGAGCGTCAGGTCATGGTACCACACAGTGTTTAGCTGAGATTTTGGAGGCTTCAGTACAAGTTGCGAGCTGTGCTCGTTTCTTTTGCCTGCTTCTGTCAAAGCTTAGGTTGGAGCATGCTGCGGGACGACGGTATTCCAAAGTTGTTCTTCGACATGTATTCAAGGAGCGTTTGGGAGTCATGCCGCACATCTGTCTGAACCGCTGCTTCAATGTGCAGCCGTACGAAATGCGAGCTGATCCCATTCTGCAAAATTCCTGGACCAAAGCAAGTCTTCACAAGCATTGCCGCGTAATAGCGCCAGAGTCTTAACTGCTAGATCGGCTAGCCTCTTGTCGACAATTTTAGCTAGTCTTGCTGAAGTGTGGCACAGGCACAAGCTTCTACCGTGTTGGAACATGCCCCTGTACCGGAGAGTAGCGTCAGATGCATGAAAGGATTGTGGATCCATGTGCAGTCATGAAGCATGGCTGATGAATGTGACGAGTGCGCGGCGGGTGGGCGTGAAAAGCCATCCAAGGCTGCTTGACCTGCATTCTTTTATTTATGATTTAGCTGGAGCACGCGAAGCATTCCATGCTGATTGCAGATGCACACTCGCTCATGCTGTAGCGGCCAAGCCATGAAACTCACAGCGCGGGGCAGATGCTTTCCTGTCGTGGTGCAGGTTGCCAGCCCAGAAGATGTTCCTTGCGGAGACAGGTCGAACAGTCTTGGTGCTCTGCCCGAAAGTGTGAGGTATCTGTCCGATACCATAGATTTAATTATCACATCCTTATCTTTATCCTCAAGGTGCGAGGCCCTTCAGGGGAGAGAAAAGTTGCGAAGGGTTATTGCAAGCCAGGCCCCTCACCCTTGGCTGAAAGACGGGTGACCATTTTGCCGATGAGGGCCCAAGAGCCTCAAGAACGAATCGAAGGCTGCCAATCTTGGCCTCGCTGACGCTCCCGCCCAAACATAGCAGGCGGCCTCTCCAGTCGCCGACCAGCTCACTTTCTATGATTTTAGCGTGAGTTTTCCCTCGGAGCTTGATCATCAAGGATCTGGATTCTCGGGATGCCTTGTGCGCGTGACTTGTCAGTTGGCACCAGCCTGCCGGTATGCCTTCTTTTCCTTTTGCTTCGCCTGAACATGGTCAATGCGGCTGCGCCCCCAGGGAGACTGAATAACTGGCTTTAGCAGGCGAGGGTCGGAGCAGGCAAAGGCCATGGTCAAGGATCTGCATTTTCGGAGTGATGGCTACCCCTTCGGTCCACTTGAACGCATAGTGATAACAGTCGCTTTGTCAGGCTCTATGTTATCAGACCCTGTGGTGGAAGTCAGATTGGTTTCCCTTCAGGGAAGAAGTAGGGAGGCTGGAAGATTTACGCCAAAAAGGCGTGCAGTGACACTTGTTTTTTTCCATGTAATTTGCAGTTGATGCGCTGCACTGAGGCAGCTCCAGCCAATCCAGATTGCGAGAAAGGGCTGGCCCAAAGCTTCTCAGATCAAACCTGCAAGAGCCGAGCCCTCCTCGAGTTTGCCAAGTTGACGTAGATGTAAGCGTGCCTTGTTTTCGCCACGTCCTAGTCACTTCCCAGTTGCTGGTTGCAAGCGCTTTTAAAGATTGAGGCTGCCTTCCCAGAGTTCCAGGCCAATCATCAAAAATGCAATGCAGGCTGGAACTCAGCTAATGCTAGGTTGCAGCTACCTGAGGTCAGCCTCACGCAAGCTTCATGCATAATCAGTGTTTTCGTAGTGCCAGGAGCCGCGCTTGAAAGCAGACAACATTGCAGTGTGCCAGTTTCCAAAGCTGTATCTTGCTTCTAGGCAAATGCAAGCTCCTCCTCACCAAGAAAGGCGTACACATGATATAACTCAGCCCGAAGACGGTAGCTCGCTGTGGCAATTTTTGGTCTTTGGCTGTCGTGCGAGGCCACTAGGCCGGCAATGCGGGCTAGACCATGGAGGAAGACCGCAGCGCTCGGGCCAGATTCGAACTGTTTCCCTGGAGAAAAAGTGGAGACCTTGGAAGCCAAGGACGAAGTGCGGAGTGAGATCGAAGCTGCGGACCGGATCTTGTTTCAAGGCGTCCGGCGATATTGCCAGTCACATTATACTTCCATATACTCCCCCCCAAAAATGACGCCCATTTTAAGGGTGCGCGATCTGAGGCAACGCTTGGCTGTTGTTGCGTAGGAGTATAGGGGTCATTGGACCCAGGGTTGATGGATTCAGGAAAAAGGATCGTTTAGGTGTGACATGCAAAGGAATTGGGAATTGGACCGGAAGCCTCTCCGGGTAGTGACTGTAGTGAGAATGCGATGCTCCCATATGAAAATTGATGAAAATTGGATGTTGGGCAACTTGGACTTGGCGGCACCTTCTTGCAAATGCGAAGCGGGACACTGTGAAAGCTCGCTTCTTCATTCACTCTGTCATTGGAGTTATCTCAAGAGATGTGGAACCTACAAGCTTATAAGACAACAGCTTGATGAACACACATGGAATTCCGCATAAATGCGTGTATGCCACAGTTGCCCCGCAGGTAGGCCTAGAGACCTATCAGAAAGCACGCTGAGGGCAAGCAGCCGCGGCTGCTGCGGCGGGCATCGATGCTACGGCGCTGCGCTTTTTCTTTCTGGCTTTGCAGGCAGTAGAGGCGGCTGTCACCAGTTGGTGTGCGCCGGTCTGCGTGTCCAGCTGCAAAATGTGCCGGGACAGGAAGCATCAATGCCACTGCCTGGCAGACACGAACTCAACTGTCTGCTTGATACTCTCCGACAGGCGGACTGCACGATGCTTTTCCCCAGATGCTTCAGTCAACATTCCTGATGGGTGAGGTAGCCACTTCGTCGGCGTCAAAAGAGGAAGTGAACTCTGCACCCTGACTGACCGCAGAAAAACTGCCTGGGTATGCTGTGTTTACCAAAGCTTGGTATGCCACCTCCTTGCTCAAATCCATTTGCTGAATTTCTATGTGAAAGTGCTGGAGGCTCTACAAGCCGCGAGCACGGCCCTGACGGCTGCCGGCCTGGAGGCGTCAACCTCCGGATTGCTCAGCTTGCCGAAGCTCGCTGAATCGCCGCGCCAAGGTATCTGTGTCTCGTGCTCCGAAGCAGGATGTCTGCCACCAGGTTGGGTGGCAGCAACAGGATGCAACAGGACTGGGGTTTATTATTGAGGCGTCACGGACTGAAGTCGGCTAGATCTGCTAGCATCTGCTAAGGTAGTCACTGAGGCTAACTCAAGTTGAGGCAAGCCGCAACAAGACAAGCTGCAACCGCTGCAACTGCTGCGAAGTCGTTGACTGCTTAGACCATTCAGGTGCTTCCTTGGCTGCTACTTGGCGGCTGGGCAGCACTTGGCCAGGACTGTGGCGAGCTACGCCGACGCTCAGTCACGTCGGGGTCTCAGTCAAGAGCTCCCAGGGCCGAGAGGGGCGATGCATTTGGCATTGCTTCATTCACACTAGAGTCACTAGAGATGCGTTTCTGCAAGTTTGAGCCGCAGAGGATTTGCGTTGGCCAAATTCACTCCCCCAACTCATCCTTTGGTCAGTCGTTATGTGTTGTGCAAATTTCGATCCGACTTCTTGCCGGTGCCTGCTGACCTAAGTGCTGGGGAATTGTTGCGGGCAGGCATGTTGTTTCAATCATCTCAGCGGACCAGCGCAAGTTGCCAACGCGGCGCCCCCAGCTTTTCTGGCCTTGCCCAAAGCGTTCTCGCTCTGGCTGATGTGTGGTGGTACATTGCGGTTGTGAAGGGTTAACTTTGGAGAGGACAGGAGGACGGTTGTTTTGTGACTGACAGAGCCTGGTTTGCTGTTAAGTTGTGTGTGCCCTGTGATTGAAACTCTACTGTCCCAGGCCATCTTAAGCTGAAGCCCGTAAACCCGACATCAGAAAACCCCAAACCCGTAAATCTCTTTCACCCAAGAAGCCAGACACGTCTGCCCCAAACCGTTGAAGAAACCCTACACCATCATCCTGAGAAACCCAAGCCCTGACCCCAAGCCCAAAAACAACTTACTCTGAAGACCCTGTCCCTAAACCCCATACTATCCCGAACGCACCCCCCGGGCCCCCCAACCCCCAACCGACAGCCTCACAACACTAGAACTCCCAAAGCCCTGACCATAAAAACCCTAAGCTGGATGCTGCAAAGTGTCAAAATTGAGCCAGAACTCATCAAGTCATCAGGGAACAGCTTCATTCTCACAAAGTCTAGTTGTGGTAGGGACCGTGCTTCATCAGGATGAGCTCAGTGTTATGTAATCAATGTAATCCCTTCCCCCCCAATACAACCAACCCCCTCCCCTGTAATATTAAAGAATCCGGGGCCGAAGAGTTATTTAATCCCCGGGGGGTGGGGATATTTATTGCAATGATTAGATAGGGCTGCCAGGTTGCCTTTGAAGTCCTTTTAAATTCCATAGAAAGTCAAGAACTAGTAAATCACATTAATGAATATAATTGAGTATTCAATCAATTTAGATTACCAAAGTAATTAGTAATTAGTCAATTCCAGGCCCCACCCCCCTAATTCATTCTTAGGTGCATCCTTTTCAAGTAGTCCTGCCATAAACACTAAACCCTAAACCACCGGTTTTTTACGCCCCCGAATTTATTAAGGAAAATTATGGGTGGGGTGAAGTGCACGGATAAAATCAGTCTATATGCATGGAGCTGCGGCAACTGCAGACGACTTGTAGCTCAGACTTTGAGGTTCGTGGTAGCATGTGGTAGCTAGTTCGGAACTATAGCCAAGGTTGTGGCCTTGGCTACAGTTCCCTTAAGTTCAAGCAGATAAGTTGAGCTATGCAGAAGTCGGTTTCCAGCCTCCAAAAACAGTTCAGGAATTTGGGGGAGTCAGGGTGGTTAAGTCTAATTTCTCAAGTTTGGCGGGAGGGCAGGGAGAGGAACAAAAATACAAACAAAAACACGACATGCTGTTGTGTTTGTTCCGAACGCATCTTGCTCAGCACAGGTTCGTGCAGGGCCATTTGCACATCTTTTCCTTTGACCAAGAAGATGCTGCGCAAAAGCTTCTCGGCAGAAGCTGAACCCCTGGTCTTGAAGGGAAAGGAGTCAAGGGCCAACAGTGCACAAAATGCACAAACACGTGCAAACCATTGTGAAGTGCTACGCCGTAGATACGCCTCCTTCCGAACTTCCGAGAAGCGGACTCCTGAAAACAAAGTCAGCTCCGCTTTCAACTGACAGCAGCAACTACTAAACTACTATAGTATTTGGGGGTTCTATTGGGATAATGGAAAAGAAAATGGACACTACTGTATTAAATGGGTTAGTGGTATTTAATTTCTGTATTTCCCGTAAAAAATCAGCAAATCTTCCGCAGCACTGATTTGGGCTCATAGAGTTCAACCATGGGTGAAACAGCGGGGGCAACAACAGCGAACTCCTGCAAGAGCTTGGAAGACAATTTGAGTAGATGGGTTGGCCGTTCCGGAGTCTTTCCTATGGATTGGTTCGAGTCGCGTGGCGTGCGCAATAAATTATTGAAAAAAACGGGGAAAAGGAAGTTGATTTTTCGCTGGATGAGCCATGCTCGTAGCCATTCTGATTCCATGGGGTCACTTGGCCTTTTCTTCTGTATTTGGGCCAGTCTCTTCTCGCAGAATGACAGCATGGGCCGCGTGGCTGAAGGCTGGGGGAGCGTTTCCCCGAAATTTGCCTCTTCATCGACAGCGCCCGAAGCGAGCGTGGCAAAGTCTACGTGCACTGCGGCGCAGGTGCCCCGCACTTGCGCATTTGATCAGCATCTTGTGGTCATGTAATGGAATGCTTTTCCCGAGGCATCTCTCGAGCGCCCACTGCAACAGCCAGCATCTTCATGGCATTTACGTCTGAGAGGCATCCTGCGAAGGTCCTACGTCCAGGTATTATACTTTGCTCCTGTGTAATACAGGTGTCTCAAGTCTCAAGTCCCCGGCCTTGGCCATCTCTCTTTTGCTTCATGCATTGATGAGCATCTGGTTCGCGTGGTGCGATTTACCTCTGAACGTGCGACATGAAGTAGGTCAGCGTGGGAGTGCACCGCATCACCTTTCTTGAGTGCCTGGCAGATGCACGATGCAGAACTAAACCGATGAGGAATTCCAGGTGGAGGGCTAGTGTGCAGGGATCTCGATCAAATCTGACATATCAGGAACTTAATGACCTCTAAAACACACATCAAACGACAGGATGGCTTTCTGGTTTGTGCTTTGTGAGCAGCCTGTAGCGCTTTGATCTGGTCGCACAGGTTACATCATGTGGAAGCTTGGAGTTTCTGCTGCAGTGGCCATCCGCATGATTCGCGCTGCTCGGCCTTGTATTCGCCCCAACCTGGGCTTCGTGAGGCGGGCTGTTTTTCTGTACGAGATGTTTCTCTGCCATAGTAAGTCTCCAGAAGTCTAGAATAATTCGCAGTTAAGGAGTCAAGTAGCTTGCCTCTCCTTGTTGCAGGGAACTTCAGAAGTGGGAGTCTTGCTTGCAGCTGGAAAATTCCGAGCCCGCCTCTTGGACACAAGTGCTTCTGATGCCCGTGGCTTCTAGCTGAGGAGAAGAAAATGGCAGAGCTGGAGGGATTCGCATCATTGGCCTCAGCCGCAGCGCTTGGCCATCAAGCCTGACCCAGCAGTCTCAGTGGCTTGCGTTGAAGCTGTCACGGTGGCTCTGCAAATCGAGTGGCAGGCTTGCTGCTTTTTGTTCACAGCTTGCTTGTGGCAAAGCCACAAAGAATTCGACTCTCCTGGCAAACACAGCGCTCTGCCAAGCGAGTGTAGCAGCGAAAAGAGCCAGCTTGCTGGTGCAGACCATGATGCATTGTGCGAAGTGTTAACATTAGGTCAGCAACAGATCAGAGCCTCTTCGCAGTCTGCAGACACTTTAAATCAGTTTGCTCTAGAAAATCCTCACAATCCAGATGAAAGTGGTGACCGCGATTTACAGCCTACTGACAGCTGGGCCTCCCACACCGAACCACTCCTATCCCATGTTAAGCCAGTGCACAAAGCAACATCTATCTTAAGGGTCAGTCATGGACTTGTGCCTGTGCCGCCAGCTTGCTCATGCAATGGCTGCCAAGCGTGGAAATTCGGAAAACTGTACCACGAAGCGCCTGAGGCATGGAAGCCGCTGAGACTCCTGGTTCCGATGGCCTGGCAAGGAATCCTCCCATCATCGCTGCTTGGATCGCTTTTCTAGGATCGATTTGCGCAGCTGCCGCTGTTGACACGTGCGTCATCCATGGATCCAGACGCTGTCCATGCATACCTACCTACGGCAAGCAGATCTTGCTTTGGGTCGTTGCCGGTGTACTTTTCGCCATTCTTGTCGGGCAGATGATGGGAGGATCGGCTGGAGGCAGCTGGATCTATGGATACTTCCTGGAGTACATGCTCTCGATTGACAACCTCTTTGTTTTTCAACTGGTTTTCAAGGCATACTCAACTCCGGAGTCACAAGTGGACAGGGCTCTTTTCTGGGGCATTACTGCAGCCGTGATTCTTCGCTTGGCCTTCTTTGGAATTGGCACAGAGATTTTGCAGCTTGGCATCGCTGCAAGACTCTTCTTTGGCTTGCTCCTTGTTCTCTCAGGATGGAAGGCTTCTCGGCAGCAAAGTACAGCTTGAAGTCTGACTGCTGTACATCGTCTTACCTTTGCACAGGCTTTCTCCGATTCCGAAGAGGAGGAGGATCCGAGCAAGAACCCACTTGTGAGATGCATTGCCCGGCTCTTGCCTCTGCATGACCAGTATAGTGATCAGCCTTCGTTTTTCGTTCGGGTGCCCAGAGACGGCTCCAAAAGCTTGGCAGACGGTTCAACGCCGGCTCCACGTGTCCTGGGCTCGAGCCAGGGAGACGGAGATGGAATCTGCTTGTTCCCTGCCACTGAAAGAGCTTTTCGTTCGGATTCGTCTCTGGAGCTGTTCGCCTTCAAAGTTTTTCAGCATCTGAGGAAGGCCCAGGTGGACGAAGATGCGGAGGCCAGGCCTTCCAGGCCTCAAGATCTGTTTGAGAGGACGTGCCAGCTGGGAGGTGGAGATGCACTCAGGCGGCAGGGGCGGAAGAACAGCTTGCAAGGCAGGTTGGTTGGGCTGCACCACTAGATGTTATTGCGCAGAGCATCCGCCAGGTGACTCCCTTGTTCCTGGTCGTCTTCACCCTGGCAATCATAGACGTCATCTTTGCTGTTGACAGTGCCGCACGCTCGCGAATGGAATGATTGCTGCGGCTGGACTGACCTTGAAGCGCTTAGGTGACTGCAAAGATCTCTTCAGTGGTTGGCTTCCCTCCTGACGTGGGAGCCTAGAAAAGGTAGACATGTTATTGGCTTCAACAGAGTATGCAGAAACGGCGTGAACCGGGAAGCAAGCTTTGTCTAAGACGGAAAACGCAGGTCAGTTTCTTTCTGAACTTGTCCTCCAGCGCTTTCGCAATGTTTGTCCTGCGAAGCCTCTACCTTGTGTCTTGGGCCACAAGTGAAATGTTGAGCTCAGAGAGAGAAGTTTGAGAGCCGACTTCCTATTTATTTTGCTGGTGCCCACCTTTGATCATGGCAGTAAGGTCGTGGACATGATGACGCACATGTTTCGCTTCCTCCCGTGCCGTGGCAAGTTGAGGAGTCCCCCGCTCAAGAATGAGTCTCTGGGGTGGTCGCTTTCCGTCTGTCCCATTTCTTTCCATGGTTTCAGGCCCCTTTTTGTGACACTGGGGCCTGGAAAGGAATGTTGCGATGGGCTTGGTCCAAGCTTTCGTGTTGGGATGCCGGGTTGTTGAAGGAAACTGTGCGCTTCAAGCTGTAGGGCTTTGAAACCTAGCCACCTCAACTGCAGGGGTATAATTTGTTGCAACCAGTCATGTTCCTAGCTCTTGGGCTACAAAGTGATGTAACTAAAGAAGGCGGAAACTTCAAGAAGTGAGGTGCTCGCACAGCTATGCCCAGGTATGGTGTTGGTGCTGTACTGATCTTCATTGGATTGAAGCTCATCGTGTCGAGTTGGTTTGAGGCGCGAGATGTGCATCGCAAGGGCTTTTTTTCCATGAGCTTGTGGTGGAAATTGGAAATCCAGGTTGGAATGCTGCTTTCGTCTGTCCTAATCCTTGGCATCTTGCTCCTCTTCTGGAAGCACTCTGAGCCTGTGTCCTCGTCGAGAAACGTAGACTTGAGTCAAGGCTGCTCGCGATGCTGGCGTCGATCCTCATTCGGCCAGAGGGGGCGGAAGTTGCTGGTGCGGAAGGTGAAGACAAGGAGCTGTTCATGTCCCATATGCAAAGTCTCAGAGACACAAACGACTTTACTGGTGGCACTGCATGGTATTTCAAGGAGCCAGAGGCGGACCTGCCCGATCCTGATGCGGACATGGATGTTCAGAACAGAAATGCCATTTACTCAGGCACAACTAGGGAGGAACCACGGTGCAACAAGTTTGGTCCAGCTGAGGACATGGCTGGTGTCGAAGTGCTCGGCAAACCATCATGAGTCGGCATGAGCAATCGGAGGTACTATTGATGCGGCCAAAGGCCCAACTTGTAGGAATCAACTCGATCGTTCATGGGCTAAGCCTTTGAGCAGTCGTTAGTTGTCACCCTGTTAAAAACGGAGGGCTGGGCAAGTGAGGATGGCAGGAATGTAATCAGGTAGGCGGTTGCGATTGCAGGAGCTGCAACTACCAGTGGATGGAGTGTGCGCAGTTCTGTCTGCGCTGCTCCAAGATCTCAGTGCTGCAACGCTGGGGAGTTCTGAAGCCAATTCAGTATAGGTTTACCATGAGGCATCTTGAAACGGACAGTCGGCTCAGGCAATTTCTCGTCCTGCTTGCAGCTTTGCGTCGATCCTTTTTCCAGAAGGACCTTGCCAAAGTGATTGCACGGTTTCAGTGCCTGCATGCTTCTAGGTGGTGGTTTGTGGCTGGAATCGTGTTTGCTGTCCTGCATGCCCGATCCAGGAGGAAGATCGGACACGACTGTTGGCAAGCATGATGCAGGTATTGCTGCTGGCCGTGATTTCATGTGACTACATAAGATTCAGATGATTTCAGATGGCAGGGGACGACAGCCATACTGGCCTCGAAGATGGGTTTGCAGGAGCGCTTTCTCTTGCATGCGGGGCTTCTGCAGCTCGAACTTCTTTCTATGCATTCCAAAATATGTAGCCTCTGCAGGAGCATAGCTGCTACCACGAATTGTGCCGCCTGCTTGGAAAGATCAATGTCTAGCTGACCTGTTCGTTGCTGCAAACCAGCTGGGACAGAAAAGCCGACGCCAACAGCGGGCCAGGCAACGCATCAGCTCAACGAGCTCTGCGCCAATGAGCAGCCCGAAGCCTACTTGGCGTGAAGCAACGGCTTGTGTTTATTGAGTCCAGCCGCGACAATTATGTCCTTGCGACATTCTTGCAATGCCTGCCAGGGTCTCTGCAGGTGTAGGTCTGCCGTGACGTTCTGATCCCTGCTCCCTGTTCAGGTTCCAGGCATGGATCGAGCAGGTGTATGGCTTCACAATGGACAGCCTGCGGCATCTTGGCAGATGATTGCCTACAGCATACTGGACGTGTTCCCACAGCATCCCACAGCAGCCCGAGCAATCTCAACAGGCTCCCGACCATTGACTTCTTGAGCCAAGGCGTTGGGAAGTGATGCCGAACTCCAAGCATTACCTCTTGGGCTTTTGGGCCGCCATGGTCAGTCCTGTCATCCTTCTACAGGACACGATGGCGTTGCCCCGTAAAGGGCACATTGAGATTTCATTGAGGTTGTCGTTATGACTGATGACTCACCACTCAGAGGTACTAACCATTTATACCATTTCTGCAGGACAAGGCGCCGAAGGCCCTGGAGAGCTTCATCCAGCAGGCCTTGCTTTTTTTGGTTCCACTGAGCAAGCCTGCTAAATTTCTATGCACCCTGGGCGATGGTACAGATCTGAATTGCATTGTGCCATGTGTAGCGAAAGAGATCCGGATGCCTGCTGTCTGCAGGTGACGGTTGCTTACGTAGAATCGCGCCTCTTTATGGCAGAGGCACTCAGATGTTGTCATGTGCCCTTCTGGTAGAGGCCAGCAGAACAGCACGTTCCCTGTCTGGCTCAAAGCCCAAAGCTTAGTAGCGTTACCAATTTGTGAGGAGGTATTGTGGATGCGAATGGCTTGTCGACCCCAGCCGAACTCTTGCGATACCTTCGTGTTCCTCTCTCCAGTCGATAGCTGTATTCCGGGATGTTTTGGCAAAAACTCCGACCGACCATCAGACGAGGAGCACTTGATTGTTCACATACCAGGTGGAAGGCAAGCGCGGTCAAAGGTGCAATGCACATACATTCAGATTCCGCAGGTGGCAGAAACCTTTGGAGTCATACTTTCAAAGCCAGCATGGATGTGGGGGTGTGACTTGTAACACTTAACTAAGAAGCCTTGCACTTTTTGGACCTTGTTTTGGAATGAAGAGTGCAGCTTTTGGCAAAGCAGTGAAGCACAGCCAAGGTGAGATGGGGGCAAATGAGTTTGGTGTTGTAGGCGGAAATGAGGCAGTTGACACCCGAGCATGCATGGAGTTGGGCTCTGAACAGCGCCTTTTGGGAATGGACATTCTTCGACTGGCCCTGGAGCGTTCGAAATCTGCGAGAGAGGCCATGCAAACCTGCGCAAGTCTCTTGGAGTCCCACGGCCAGGGCGGTGGATGTGCTAAGGATGATGCCGGATGGACTTATGAGAATGGCTTTCTCTTTGCAGATGATTCTGAAGCGTTCGTGCTTGAGACCGCCGGAGTGTCATGGTGGGTTGCTGAGAGGGTGCCAAGAGGGAGTTGGAGGAACATTTCAAATGGAATCTCCATTCGCAGCAATATCTTCGCGATCCATGCAGGTCTCAAGGAGCACTGCAGGAAAATGAGATGGTGGGATGGCGAGGAGCCTTTCGACTTCAAAGCGGTAATGACAGCAAGAGCCTCCACAGTTGCTTTGCAACCGCGCGGCAGGGAGGCGGCTGGATCTCAAATGCTTTCCGAGTTGGCAATGACGGTGAGCATGCCAGGATATTCACCCAAAGAGTTGGTGAAACAGATGGCAGGTATACTGCGTGATGAAAGGTCAGGGATATGCTTCCGGGATGTGCATGGTTTCAATTCCACCGGGAGCCAAATCTCTTTGCTGACTGGTCAGTCAAGTCTTCACTTCTTTACTTGTTCAAGCGATCCTCTGCTGGCAGCATACAAGAGGTTTGAGTTTGGCAGCATCTCGAAGGATGGAGCCTTGGAGGACTTGAGCCGCTTGAGCCTAGAGCTGTGGCAACTACGTCGAAAGCTTGCCCTGCAAAGAGTGTCACCGAAAGGGCTGGAAGCTTTCTTGACATCTCTGGAGCAAAAGGCCATGGATGGTGGAGGTTCTATCGTGGATCTGCTCCGCGAGGAGATTGCCTTCGCTCAGCAGTTTCTGCAGCCATGCTGAAAACCTCCGACCTCTCCAGTTGATGTGCCCAGTTAAAGCTGAAGCAGTTGGTAAGGCTGAAGCAGGTCTTCATTCATAGAAGGTTTCTCAGCCAAGCATGAGGATTGATTTGAACCTGGAGGCGTCCGCAGACCCGGCTGCATGTAACGACTGGGATGACCCTTTGGAGGATGAGGCCGAAGTTATTGGCAAAAAAGTGTTCTGCACTTTGCTTGATCAGCTGAAAAGGTACTGAGAGCGGAGCAGCTTGAAGTCCTTTCCAACCTGGGACGATGCCGCTACCAGGACTGTCCAAGGCTTGCATTTCCGACATTATTCTGGCAATGCTACGCCGTAGCTGCTACCCCTCAAAAGACGTTGTCATCCAGGACACGGCCCAGCACATCATGAAGCACTTTGAGGAGACCTCGAGGCATCATCACACACACGCTGAGTTGACTCTTTCCATCCTTGATGCTGCCAGTTGACTCTGTAGAAGGCTTCTCAGTTCATGTTGTTCTTGGTAGGTTTCGACATGCGACCTGCAAGGGTCGCCACTTTTGGACGTTGGGTGGTTTGAGGGGGGTGGGGGTCCGCAGCAATGGCAAGCTGGATACCTACTTCTCTTTGCTCATCATGATCCCATTTCGGATCCAGGTTTTGGTCAGTAATACTCACCAATATCCTGCTCCATTTCCGGGGCTTTCAGAGGAGGTGTATGGGGTTCAGGCTTTAGGATGGAAACATTAGCAGCATGTGGCCTGCACTGCTGGATTTTAAAATCCTGCATGACCCAAGGTGGCTTATGACTCTTATGACTGTGAAATGATGGTTCTATAGTATGACAAAGTCACGCAAGATTTGAAGTATCAACTGTTGAAAAGTGGCTTATAGGGGATACGTGGGGGCTCAGGGTTTCAGGGGTTACGCTTAGAGGGCTACTTTGCAAGATTTACTTTCAAGATTATGGAACTGGAAACACCCGAGGCATGTCGCTAGTTGTGCCTATAGTATACCGAGCTCCTAAAGGCAAAGCATGCAAATACATTTTAAAATCGAAGTTATGCGGATGCCCGCCACCTGGGCCTCATGATGCCCTGAAAAAACCCGGTCGACACCGGTTTGTTGTCTCCAGCATGGTTCGGACGTGTGGCCATGGAGCAAACATGAAAACAACCCACTGCAAGACCGCGAAAAAGCCATCCACAAGAAAGCCCGCATTTTCCCGAGCAAGCGCTGGAGAAGCGAAAGCCCGCGCGTCTCATTATTTTGAACCTCAACATATCGATGTGAAAACATAGTACGTTTTGGCACATTGCCAGACACAAGTGACAACACTTCCACGGCCGCGTTTGTGAATCTTGCCTTGTCTTTGGCATGCTCCTCGCTGATGCAAAAGCGCTGTGTGGATCCGGAGGTTGGGACAGCAAGGTGTCATGCCCCAACGGGTCTTTGAGAAGAAGATGACGTCGGATGCTTGGGTGTCTCAGGTTGGGATTGTTGCTCTTTTGATTGTGCGTTGCTATTGTTCTTCCTTTTTATGGTAATTACTACCGCTAGTGCTACTAGGCGCCCCTGCTACCAACCAACCATGTTCCCCATCCTCCACATGTTGAAGCTCTAAGGATGAGAGGGGGGCTTCGCGAGGTGAAGTGGGGTGGGGCGGTGTGTGGGTTGGAAGCAGTCGCGTCCATTCGAAGCAAGCGCATGCGAAATCCATCGATAGTTACAGCTTTGCGAGGATGTTGCGTGGGTGCGGCACGTTCCATGACACGTCTCGGCTGCTTAGGCTATTGACCGTCCATCCTTAACATTTCAGGGAACATGTTTGGTATGGAGTCCTGCTACTAATGGTGCTGCTACTGCTACTCCTCTTTGATGTTGCCATTGTTGCCACTCTGGCGGTATGGTCTCGTTTTTAGGTGGCTGGTCTACATGATGGGAGCGCTGGTTGGCGGCCATGCCTCAGCCAAGGCAGGAAGCAAGTCCCCAAATTCGGAACCTTAACATCTCTTAAAGAGGCTGAAGTTCATAGTAGAAGAAGAGAAGTAAGAATGGTGGTAGTACTACTACGTAGTGTAAGCAGGAAAAATGGCAGCAGTAACAAGTAATCGTGGTGGTACTGGCGGTGGTAGTGGTAGAAGAAGAAGAGACAGTAATATATCAAAGTATTAGCATTATTCTTACTTGGTGTTGCTAAGTGTTTAGGGCTTCGGGTTGCATTGGGATTGGTGGTGCAGTTTTTAGGGGATTATGGATAGTTTAGGGTTGTTTAGGTTTAGTGGCGTGGTTGTTTTCAGGGGCTGTGAGGGGTTTGGGGTTGTTTGGAGTTAGAGTTTGGCTTCTTCAGAGTTTCTTAAAGTTTAGCGTCGCTTGGGGCTTCAGATGATTTAAGGCTTACGGTTCCGGGTTGTGCACTGATTGGGGTAGTTGACGTTTCAGTGCCTGCAGTTGTTTAGGGTTCAGGATTGTGAGGGTCTTTTGTTTGTGTTTGGATTCTAGACATTTTTGGAAGTCCAGTGCAAGCCCGACGATGCTCGTCATTTTCGAACACTTGCGTGTTGAGCCAGATGCGCGCTATACTTCTACATATTGCAAGCGCTAGGTTGATGTTTCCCATATGCAGGCACCCTAGAGGGAAGGGTTGTTTATAGGGTTCATAGATGTTTGGCGGTTTGGCTAAATTAAGGTTAAGGGCCCAGTTTAGGCTTTAGCGTTGTACAGGGCTCGGGTTCGTTGACGGTTGAGTGCTTGGGTTAATTCAGGATTTTGGGTTGTCTGGAGTTGAGCGTGTGGGTTGTTCAGGGTTTATTAGAGTTTAGGGTTGTTTGAGGCTTTGGGTTATGTATGGCCTACCCGGTCTAGGGTTGTGTACTTCTTGGGGGTGTTGACGGTTCTGTGCTTGGGCTTGTTTGGGGTTTAGGGGTGTGAAGGGTTTATTAGGGTTGGGGGCTGTTTGGAGTTAAGGGTCGGGCCTAGGGCTGTAAGGTCTTTTTTGACTGCTTATGGCTTAAGGTCTAGGGTTGTGTAGGGCTTGAGGTCGTTGACTGTTGAGTGCTTATATGGCTGTTTAGGGTTTAGGGTTGAGTGTTTTGGGTCATTCAAGGCTTAGGGCTTAGGGTTGTGTAGGGCTTGGGGTTGCTGACGGTCCAGTGCTTTGGGTTGTTTGGAGTTTAGGGTTTGGGTGGTTTAGGGTTTAGGATTGTTCGGGCTTTGTGCTATTCAAGGTTTAGGGTTTAGGGTTGTGTAGGGCTTGGGTTAGTAAGGTATGAGCTTTCAGGATGTGCATGGCTTGAGGTCGGTGGCGGTTCTGTGTTTGGGATTTTTCAGGGTTGAGGGTCGTGAGGGATTTTGCAGGGTTTCGGGTTGTTCGGAGTTTAGGGTTTGGGGTTGTTTAGGGTTATTTGGGTTTTAGGGTCGTTTGGGGCTTTGGGTTATTGAAGGCTTAAGGTGAGGGGTTGTAGGTTTTGGGGTCGTTGGCTGTTCAATACTTATGGTTGTTTAGGGGTAAAGGTTGACAGGGGTTTGGGTTGTTCGAAGTGTGGGCTTTGGGTTGTTCAGGGTTTGGGGTCATGCAAAGCTTGGGGTTTAGGATTGTGTAGGGCTTGGGGTTGTTGACGGTTTAGTACTTGTGATTGTCTGATTTTTTGTGGGGGAGAGGTGTGTTGTTCATAGTTTACGGTTTTGGTTGCTGGGTTATGTAGGGCCTGGGTTTAGTAGGTTTGTTTGAGGTTTTGCATTATCTCAGGCAATCCCAGGTGAAAGATTTAGGGGTTGTGTAGGGCTTGGGGTCGTTGACGGATGAGGGCTTCAGGTTGTCTGGGGTTCAGGGGTTTCGGGTTGTTTCGCCTTTGTGGGTTCAAGGGTTAAGGGTTGCCTGGGGCTTGGAATTGATTTTTCAACGTTCAGGTTTTTTTGGGTACTGTAAGCCTTCGGGTCGTTGACTGTTCAGTACTGATTTATCAAGGTTCAGCGTTTATTAGAGTTTTGGACTGTTGGGAGTTCAGGATTTGGGCTGTTTAGGCTTTAGGGGTCTAGAGTTGTTTGGGGTGTTGGGTGTTAGTTCCGCCTTTGGAGTTCAGGATTGTGCAAGGCTTGGGTCAGACACGCTTAGCCCAGTGCTTAGAGTTGTTTGGTGCTCATGGTTGTGAAGGGTCTTGGGTTCAGGTTGAAGAACTTATTCGGTGTTTAGGGTGTTTGGAGTTTTGGTTGTCGAAGGTCTAGGGCTCACGGTCGTGTAGGGCTTAGGGTCGTTCACATTGACAGTCCAGTGCTCAGGGTGTTTAGGGTCAAGGCTTGTGAGGGGTTTTGGCTTGTTTGGAGTTAAGGTTTGGAGTTGTTTAGGGCTTAGGGTTGTTTGGGGTTTGTTTGTCGAGGTTTAGGGTTGAGGGTCGTGTAGGGCTGCTGGTCATTGGCGGCCAGTGCTTGTAGTTGTTTAGGGTCGAGAAGTGTTTCGAGGGTTGTTGGCTTATTTGGAGTTTAGGGTTGGGGTTGTTCATGGTAGTTTCGGCTTTCGTGATGTGTATCGCCTGGGGTCATTGACGGTTCTGTGCTTGGGATTGTTTAGGATTTAGGGTCGTGAGGGGGTTTTGCGGGGTTTCGGGTTGTTTGGAGTTAAGGGTTTGGGGTTGCTCAGGGCGAATTGAATTTTTTTTTTTGGGCTTTGGGTTACTTCAAGTTTAGAATTCAGGGTTGTGTAGGGTTTGGGGTTGTTGACGGTTCGGTGCTTTGGGTTGTCTGTGGTTAGGGTTGTCAGATTTTGGTATGTTTGGTTTAGGGTTTGGGTTGTCTAGGGCTTATTAGGGTTGATGGCTGCGGAGTTTTGGGTTATTTGCAGTTTAGGGCTTTCTAAACTAAGTCTGCCCGGCCTCGGGCGACGTGCCGGCCCTTTCTCCAAGCCGAAAGTTCCGCTGCGGTCGAGAGTCCTGAGCGAGAGCAGATTGGAGTCTACTGTTGACACTCCTCTCTGTCTCGAAAGAAATGGAAAAGATCCTAGACAAATGGATCAGCACATTATAGATATCCCACTGATCCAGTGAAGCTTTGGCCATTCGGCTCC